GACAACAAAAAGTACAAAAAATCCCACAAACCAAGAAAAGGCCAGCCCGGCATAGGCCATAACGCCAACCATAGAGAAGGGACAGGGAAGCACGCCAACACAGAGAAGACAAACCATCACTACAGTCAAAAAACAACCAGTCAAGCCAGAAAGAACACAAGGCAAAACCTGTAGATTGCATTAAGAATTTATTATTAAAGAGATACATCGCCCGATAAGTAAAGGGTGAGAGATGGAGAAATCTTAAATAAATTAATTTATGCGAAAATTTTGTTCATTATCAAGATTGGCCCAATTTATGTATATTTATATTGAGAGTTGGCAACATTCAATTCAAAAAAATCACTTCTCTTCTCTTCTGTTTTTGTGAGTGATGTAACATACCACCCAATTCTTACGTACTTACATATCTATCGCCTAAACTTCACCTTTTACTCTTATATTGCCCAAATCTTTAATATCACATAAAAAACATCACTAATTTAACTTCTAAAAATTGAAGCACACCTTACAAGCATAGTTAATATGGTATGTAAGTAAAAATTAAAGTTTAAACATTTGATACATACATATATAAGAAAAAAGTGCACATAAATCTTCCCTCTCTTTTGTGTGTGTGTGTGTGTGTGTGTGTGTGGCCATAAAAAAGGGAGGAATTTGGGCTCCAATCCAATAATTTAGCTTCCTAACAAGCCTTTTGTGGGGACATATCAAAACAGCATGTCATATTCTGAATATTGCTACTGATGTGGGACTTCAAAAGCTTCAATAATTTCACACAAAAAGTTGTAATAAATACGCATACAAAGTGAATTAATTGTAATGTTGACAACACCTGAAATCACGGGCCCATACATATTAACACCCTTAAGAAATCTTTAGGAAATGTACTCTGCCTACCTAACGGCTACTACTTAAAACTGGTAAAAATGCAAATTTATCCGAAACTGGTAAAGTGCAAATTTTCAAAATTATACATCTATTATATATATATATATATATATAAAATAAACATAAGTTATTATCCGAGCTTCCAAGCACCCCTAATGTGTCTAAGAATTCGAGTACCACCTCCTTGTACCACCTCCTTAAAAGCCAACTGTGTTAGAGTGGATTTGAACCCCCGACCTGAGGGGTTTTACACCAAAGATGATATGCAGAATAGCCATTTATAATTATTTTTTCTTGTCTTCAATGAGGAAAAAGGTTTCCTAATTTACATTCCAGCAACCCCCATACAGGGAACCATAGATTTCCTCCTTTATAATGAACCAATTCAAGCAAAGGAAGAAAATCACTCTCCAAACCAACAAAATAATGCACAAAACATACAGACCAGGTGTGACTATAATGCTTCTATGCAAGTTGAGCAATCGCCAATTTCATAATCCCATCCCAATTACTTGCAGTCAGAAAATTATGCAGATTTCTGATTTGAAGAAGTCAATTTCTGCAGCTGTTTTCTGAGATAAGCCTGCCTGAGTTTCTCTCTTCGAGCTGCCTCTTGCTCCTGCCGTCGCAGCTTGACCAGTGTGGTCTTCTCCCTGGCCTGGCTCGCCTCTTCATGAACTTCTCTGATGGAAAATGTGCCATGTTAAAGGAGAAAAATCATCATTTTATGAAAGCTGAAATCACTAGATAAGAGAAATTTACAGACATCACACGATTCTTCTGCATTTACATATCTAACACCTAAAGTTTGATATTTACATTTATAACAACTTTGTATTAAAAAACGATGCATGAAAAGGTGTATTTCACTTTTAAGAAGTTAGTGATATTGGAATTTTTAAGTGATGTCAAAGATTTGAGTTTTATGTATGTAAATATAAAGGTTAAGATGTTAGATATGCAAATATATAAGAATTGTGTGATATATATGCAAATGCCAACATAAATAAATACCTCACAAAACGCTTGTGCTCATCGGAATCTAAAGTGGCGCCTGTACGCCCAGGTCCAAATGGCCTTTCGCGCAGAATGTCATCATCATTCTCACCATCTTGATCATGTTGAGGGTGACCAACAGCAGGGCTTCTCTCGTCAGGCCGCTCCGGTTCAACTTTTGTGATGATTTTCTGGAAGAAATCTACACAGTATTTCTCTTTGTCTTCCTCATCAGAGAGCTCGCCCCTAGCTAGTTTATCATATAGTTCAGCTTTCCTCTCTAAGGCTGCATAGCTTGCTGAGCCATCTTTTGCAGCCTTCAGCTCCAGCTTGTCTCTGCACTAATGGGGAAAGAAATAGTCTAGAAGTTAGATTAAAAAATTTAAGTCTTAGAGAAATCACGGAACATAAATGTTCCATGTTTGGATAAGAAATTTATTCATCAGCAAACCACAGGAATTGGATGATGGGTTTTAAAGAAAGGGGTTTTTTGAGTTTTGGCAATTTTTTTCATAGGAAAATAAATAAATAAAAAAAAGTAACAAATGATAGATTTGTTAACAAGCACCATTCCAAGCTAGCTTCCATGACATGTTGATAAAAACACCGCAAAAGATAAGCATGCTCTACATTATAGAAATATTTCAATAAACTGCCATAAGCCCAGTTGATTAATAAAGAGTGTCACTGAATCATACCACCAGCGAAAACTAATCAAGTGTACATGACATGTTCAGTCTTATAAAATGGTTTCCTATAAATAGTACAGAAATTTTACATACATACCACTCGATTCCAATATATTTACTTATCTAAAACCTAAAGTTTGATATTTACATTCATGACACTTTGATGTCATAAACTTATACAAAAAAATGTATACTTCACTTTTAAAAAATTAGTACTTGTGGTGTTTTTGATATAATACTAAAGATACAAGTGTTATGTATACAGACATGAAAGTATAGGTGTTAGATAAATAAATACATAAGAATTGTGGTATGTATGTAAAATGCCCCAAATAGTACCACACAGGTGCATAGCCGCCTTCTTTGTTAAGTCTCTAGTCACTTTCTCTCTCCCTCTCTCCTGATGCCAACAGCTGGCCGGTTTGGCCGGACCTCTCTCCCTCTCTCCTCTCCTTCACTCTTATTTTGACAAACGACAAGGCAACACCACATCCCCTTATCTCTCTCCCTCACTGCTGATGCTTGAAGCTCCCACCTCTCCCTCTCTCCCGACAAACGATGCTAGCAGAATTTCAATTTATTGCATTGAGAAAAGTTGGGTTTTATGTCTCCTTTGTAGTTTACTGAATTTTTTAAGTCTGATATACTTGATATTCCATATGGATTTTTCTTTGCCTTACTAAATTTTCGCTTCATTATTATTTTGTTTAATGTTCTAGGAGATTTCATGTGCTTTATTTTATTTATTTTTAATGTTAATTTCATTAATTTGTTTGAGGTTCGGAAGAATTTAAAATTCCTTTTGATTTGTGTGATTTGCTGGAACACACTCATGTCATAACTTCTATAATTGCTCTAAGCGTTGTGCCAGTAAGTACATTAAGAACGATTTTTGTTATACTAAATGAAAATTTGTCTCAGATAGAAGAATCAAGTAGTTCTTTCTTACAACTTACCTTTAATAATTGCAAAAGGCTTATGTTAATGATTACTATTTGAGTTTTGTTGTGCATGTCCATTCTACTGTAAGTCAATATTTTGTGGAGCCATCAGGATTTTTTGGACAAATTCCTACTAACATATTTCCTGTGTTCATTCCCTGTTTATCATATCAACATCCATGGTAATTACTGCAGCTCAGAGGCTTCATCTTGCTAGTATTTATAAAGATGAGGCTAAAAAAATCCTCTTTGTCACTGTGGCCCATACAATTAGACAGGTTTGTCTGTTTTTCTATGATAAAAAAAAAAAATTTTCTTGTTTTTCTGGTGTAGCTAGAATTAATATAAAACAACTATAAGTTAAGGTTTGTCTATAACTTGGTCATGCATAGCATCATAATGGTAGATAAAGACTTCTAAATGACACATTTTGAAAAAAAAAAAAGGACAAGTAGTTGAGATTCATTGGTCTTATAAATATTCTCTCTCTACAAGAGCAGTTGCACTAAAGAAATATTTTGAAACTATATTTGTCAGACATCCCATGAGCTTACATAGAATTTGTGATTAAGTCTATAATACATATCCAATATGTGAGAAGAGTTTCATGCTTTGAAAGTACCCATTCATGCTTTGAAAGTACCCATTCTTAATGAAAATATGGAGACATTATATGTGCATTTTTATGCTTATCAACTTAAATTATGTTTAATAGTTACAATAAAGAATCATTGGAAAGCGAAGTATCTTCTTAAGTATATTTTGATAATTATGAATATCATTCGAGCACCTTCAAAGAAGAGTTGTACACTTAAAGCCATTCAGCATAACAAGATACCTTTGAATTTTAAAACATGAGAGTTAATTAATAGTCAAAGCTTGAATCAAAAAACTAATTTGCAATGACCTGGCAACACTTGTTGGAATTCATATATTCATACTTTAATTAATTTTATGAAGATGTATTCTTTTCTACTTAAAATGCTCGAAATTCTCTCAGATTGAGTGCATGATAAACAATCAATTGAAACTTATATTTTAAAAAATACAAAAAAAATATTTTTAACATTCTTTACACTGGATATACTAATTGAAATTTTGGGCTTACTTATAAATTATTATCACAATTTTTACCAAAAAAATAAAATTAGGCCATTGATAACACAATAAAATAGGTACAAGTATCCAATCCAATGCTGTAAATGATGAGATAGAATGGATGGAAATCTTTATTCGACGAAGCATCATATTTTTGCAATCTTTGAAACTCATGTTGCAAATACGAAATTGTATACTTCTCTGCTTAAAAATGTTTGAGATTCTCTAAGATGGAGTGCATGATCAACCATCAATTGTAACTTATAGTTTTGAAAATACAAAAAAAATTTAACATTCTTCACAATGCATATACTATTTGAAATTTTGGGATTACTTGTAAATTATTATCACAATTCTTGCCCAGAAAATAAAATTAGGACATTGATAATGCAATAAAATCGGTACAAATATCCAATCAAATGCCGCAACTGATGAGATAGAATGGATGGAATTTTTTATAGAACTAAGCATCATGTTTTTGCAATCTTTGAAATTCAAGTTTCAAATATGAACTCTACATTTAGGGAACTTTGATGGTCAATATAGAGATTCGAAGAAAAAACAAACTTGCACAATTATTGTGCATTTTATACTATGATTGATGTACAACTTCAAAAGCTAAATAATCATTTCTCTAAAACTATTATGAAGTTATTTCTTTATGTGGTGTGCCAAAACCTAGCTAAGTCATCCTCCAATTTTGATAAGGAAAACTAATCCAGTTTGTAAAATTATATCTAAGTAATTTTTTTTACAATTAAGATTATGGCTCTAGAGTATCAACTATCTAATTATAGTACTCATATGCAAGGTTTAAAAATCGGACCGGAAATTGAATCGATAGAGAGGGACGGTTCAAGGTTCAAAGGCTGAACTGGAAATTGAATCGGATAACGTCATAAATAAAAAAAAAACATTAAATGTAACTTAAATGGTATACTAATGTCGTGGTATGTGCAGTGAATTACAACTTTCTAGCTTTTCCTCTAAAGCCCCATCCACATTTAAACTTGCAGCTCCTCACAATCTCAAGAAGTTGTTTGTTTTTGTATTATTATACAAGTACTCAAGAGTCAAAGGCTCAAAGCTATCAGATTATTCAAATTAAATACTAAAACTATTAGGAATTTTTTAATTTTAATCAGTTTAAATTGCTTTTAATAGATGTGATGCAATATTGTCCTCAAACACCAAAAATCATCAAAAATATAATTGAAATATTCAAATTTTGATCGATACAACAAATTTTAATTAAATCACTTGAACTCATATAAAAATAGATGGGATTCTTGAAATCTCAAATATGAAACTTCTGCAGTTGTACAATTCTACTACATTAGGGAACCAAAATCAAAATAAAATTTTAAAAACTTAGTGTTGCAAGCCCAAAAAGCTTTGCAGACTCAACTCTGATGTTTCTACTGGCTGAAGCATCACATTCAAACCAAACACTAACAACGAAACAAAGCGATTTAGAAGAAGCAAAGTAGGTTACCCGCAGACTGTGAGTGAGATGCCGGAGAACAACCATTCAGACAAAGGTGAAATGGATTATGAGATGTCGACGAGCGAGCGGTGAATGAATGGCAAGGGAGAACAAAGTTTCGTCTATGAGCTTGGGTGGGATCGGGAGCTAAATAATAGGGTTTTGTTGATTTGTCATTATTATAGGAGCTTCTCTATGAACAGAGCGATTCCTTAGAATAAGAGTCAGTTCGTCGGTTCAGGGGTTGAATAGTCTGTTCAATCCAGTTCTGGGTAGTTCTATGCGGGATGAATTTTTCATGCCAACTGAAACCGGAGCTTTGGTAGGTTCACAGTCGAACTGGTCGATCTGGTCTGTTATTCTGAATCTTGTTCATATGTGAATCAATAAGGAGCTCTTATCTTTAAGCGGGGCTGAAGATTTTTCACATGCAATTGTTAAAATAAAAAAAAAAAAGATAATTTGTATCCCTTAGTCTATAATTTTATAATCATGACATTGTCTCTTATCAATTGTTGTTGCCATAGTAGATAGAGCATTGTCAATTATCAAATGCGAAATCAATAAGGAGCTCTTATCTTTAAGCGGGGCTGATGATTTTTCAGAAGCAATTGTTAAAATAAAAAAAAAGATAATTTGTATCCCTTGGTCTATAATTTTATAATCATGACATTGACTCTTATCAATTGTTGTTGCTATAGTAGATAGAGCATTGTCTATAAGTTGGATCCTCAAATTATCAAATGCGTAGTAGAATGGGTGATAGCTCCATGGCTACTTAATGCCTTACATTGAAATAGAAGTATTTAAATTGATTCCTAATGAACAAGTTAAGCAACATTATCAAAAAACACGAAATATGATCTAAATTTTATAGTTATTGTTCCATTCATCGACCAAGATAAAATTACAAGAGTTTATTTATAAATATATATCATCCATTTTATTTTTTCTTAATATTAATTTATTTACATGATAAATTTGTCCACCTCAAAACTGAGGATAGCTTTATGACAAACTGAACTCTCGCCCATCAAGGCATTGTCCGTTTTGGCTTAACTGCCTCGCGGTTTAGCCTCGTTAGGGTAACTTTCTAGGAGGTCACCCATCCTAGAAATGCTC